CTGCTGCTGCTGCTGCTGCTGTTGCTGCTGCTGCTGCCCACAGATAGAACTTGCCGATTGAGAGGATTATAATCAGAGAAGGTTGGCTTGAGTTGTCTTGACGTCTTTAACTCTTCTAGCTCCGTGAGACCTGCTGCTGCTGCTGCTGCTGCTGCTGCTGCTGCTGCAACTGCTGCTGCATTAGCGGCTGCTGCGCCTTCTCCGGGAGAAGCAAGCCATTTAACAAGCCTCATTAACTTTGGGGTCTCCATACACCTGAAGTTGCTGCTTCCCTCACCTCTGTGAAGACTAGGGCGGCCGCCCCTGCAGCAGCAGCAGCAGCAGCAGCAGCAGCAGGGAGCAACAACACTAGCATTTCCTGTTATATCGCGTGTCAGTCTCGTCGCGGTGGAGCGAAGAGCCTGCTGCTACTGAGAAACAGAGCAGCAGCAGCAGCAGCAGCAGTAGCAGCCGCAGCAGAAGTAGCGGCAGGAGCATCTGCGTTCAAGCAGGAGGACCGGCAGCAGCAGCAGCAGCAGCAGCAGCAACAGCAGCAGCTGTCATGCGAAGATGCCGTCGATAAGGGATGAGATATCTTTCGGTGTGTTTGAGGAGGGGTTGGAGGGGGAGACTGATCGAGGGTTTAGGGTTTAGGGTTTAGGGTTTAGGGTTTAGGGTTTAGGGTTTAGTGCGAGCTGTTCTTCACTTCAAGTTGCTGATTGCTTGAGGCATTTCCTCATTGTATTTTATGCCCCACAGACAAATCCTTGAGGTTTCCTTTGTCTAGGGTTTAGGGTTTAGGGTTTAGGGTTAAGGGTTTAGGGTTTAGTGTTTAGGGTTTAGGGTTTAGGGTTTAGGGTTTGTGCACAGAGAAGCGAACAGCGGAGGCCCACCGCATCCGCGCAAAATACCCCAACCGAATCCCAGTCATCTGCGAGAAGGCCCCGCGTTCAGACCTTCCTGTTATCGAGAAGAAAAAGTATGTTGTTGCTGCTGCTGCTGCTGCTGCTGCTGCTGCTCTTATTTCTGGTGTTGCTGCTGCTGCTGGTGTTGCTGCTGATGCTTCAGGTACCCCGTTTGCTGCTTATTTGTGCGTTGTTGCTGCGTCTGAAAAACTTGCTGCTGCGATATTTGCTGCTGTTGCTGCTGCTGCTGCTGCTATGGCTTGGGTTGTTTGTCTCCCTAGATGCTGCTTCATAGAGCAGCAGCAGCAACAGCAGCAGCAGCAGCAGCAGAAGCAGCAATTCTAAATGCCCCACAAGCAATGACAGCACTATCAAAAGCAACCCTAGCAGCCACACGAGCAGCAGCAGCAGCAGCAGCAGCAGCAGGCTGATGAATAGTATCAAATAGCGGTCTGCTGCAACCGCATCATCCTCATCATCATCATCATCAGCAGCAGCAGCAGCAGCACGAGCATATGTATGTGTTTGCTGCAGGTTCTTGGTCCCGATGAATATGCTGGTAGGAGAGTTTAAATATATAATACACAAGCATATAAATCAGTGTGCTTCGTCTCAAGGATCTCCGCTGACGCATGAGAAGACTATTTATTTATTCGTTGAGAATACTGCACCGAAAGCAGGTGCTCTTATTCAAGAAGTCTATGAACAGCATGTGGCTGATGACGGCTTTCTTTATGTTGAGTACTCCGCTGAAAACACCCTGGGATAGCAGCAGCAGCAGCAGCTACAGCAGCACCAGCAGCAGCAGCACCAGCAGCAGCAGCAGCAGCAGCAGCAGCAGCAGCAGCAACAGCAGCAGCGGCAGCAACTGCAGCAGCAGTACAAAGAGACTACAACTACTAACACGCATGCTGCTAAATATGCTGCTACTGCTGTTGTAGATGTAACGGATGCTGCGGCGGCAGCGGCGGAGATTGGTTGCTGCAGCAGCAGCTGCTGCTGCTGCTGCCG